CTCTGGCTTGTGATTGGTCAACAAAGCCTGTTCTGTTGTACCAGTCTTCTTCTTAATAAGGCTCGGGTGTTCTACAAGAGCGCCACAAAACAGCCAGGTCCACCTGCTTGAAGGTCCTTCTATTTTGAAAAACTGCTTTAAACAATAACAGCCTAAAGAATTTAAATTTCGCAAAATAAAATTATGTTTCTTTCTATTCGCTGACAAGTTATTTTTAAATGATAACCTAATCGGTTACACGCTGAAATTTGCCAATAAACACTGAAATAATTATTTTAAGATGGTAAATTAACAATTCGAATAAATATATATCTGATGTTGTTTCAAGACTAAGGCTTTTGATGTCAATGGTCATTAAGCATTTAGAATGAATTTCACTCCACGCTTTCTTATTAATCCATGATTATGAAATTTATGGATTTGACTTGCCCTGTAAATATTTTTACCGTTGTTAACATTTAATAACCTTAGAACTTAGGTGTATTGGACCTGATATTGCGTTACATAATTCTAGTATACTGTTTTGTGGGAATTACACGCATTTTCAGTTATTGATGAGGGAATCTTCACTTGCATAGTTGCCAGGCCTGTAGTACGATTTGACGAATGAGTTTAATCAACGTCAACTGGATTTTTGGATTTCAATATTTGCAACTTGTTCGATTCCACAAAAAGTGGTAAACATGACCAGGAGTTACTCACATTAAAAGAAAACCATTTTCATGTTTATTTGTTCACTTCACTTCATGTGATTTCCACGACTAACACTGATTCACCTTAGCCATCTTTGTGATGCATATTTATATCAAGTTTCTTAATCAACGAAAGGTCACGAAAAATTTCATTTGTTTTGCTACGACGATATTTGTCTGGAATAACCACTGCTTGCGTAGTTAGGTTACTCAGATGTTATATTTCACAATTAATTTGTGAATTCTTTTTTTTGTAAGAACTCTCCATAGGTGATGAAGCGTTTTATTCGTGTTATTTCGATTAATCAAATGCAGTCAACAATCCGTTGCATTTATTCTCGCAACACAAGGACTTGGTATTGCTCCACAGGGTGCTCCTTTCCACCGTAGGGGATATATGCGAAGCCGTGTCCATTATGAACCTATAGGATAAAATAAAACCGACGATTTGACTGCAACTCTTCAAAACACTTTTAAATAACTTTACGAATGGCAAGAGGCCGACAAGACATTCACTATAGGGAGCATCTCAATTGCATCCTGTTGTACTGGTTGATAAACAGTGGTCGAATAAAAGACATCCCAACTTCCAGGCAAAAACAACATGGTCAAAATTTCAGGGCATGCTTTCTTGAAAATCCAAATCAATGTTATTATTGAGGCGTGTGAACTCGCGACTTGAAAGTCAATGTTCCAAAGTTCATTCACTACATCCAACCACATTCGTCTTAATACGGAAATGATTAATATAGATTGTGTATCATTATTCTCAAATAGTTAAGAAAATAAATTTACACACCTTGCCTGCACACATCTCGTCTTCGATTTTCTGTTTGCAAACGTATAGTGGCGCTCCGTCACCTACTATTCCACCCACAATGGCATTCTTGGGCACGTTTCCCTTTGAATCGCCGACCCATTGGTAGCTTTTGAAACAGAATACGTGTGGTTAAGCATACCGTTTGCACAGGTGCCTGTTTTCAAGCCAATCGTGTCCCACAGACCGTTTCTCCAACTAATGCCTTCATGAAATGGAACTGCTAATGAGGCATTTGATTTTTAGGGGCGGTTCACCTGTTGGGCAATCTGTCCAATTATATTTTTGGAGAATACATTGGAAAGCAACTTGAATAACCGGATTATTGTCGAAAAAAATAAATGCTAGGTTTTCCAGGTCATGGATGATCTTAGCACTAGCAATTGATTCAAAGCTGTGGGTGGACTGATCCTCGCCTCGCTTTCTTCAATTTAGTCGCGTGTTTCTGAAATGGGTATATTCTTGCTCACTTAGTTTTGTTAAGTTGCAGGTACTTAGGTTGTCAGTCACCAATTAATTTTTCACAAAATTGAAAACACATTGCTGCCAACTTTTAACGGCAACTTGGTCGAATTGACAGCGGCAATGTGTACCTGTCGACTGCATACCCTACCAGCAACAACCGTCAATCACGTGAACTGAAAATGTATTCTCAAAAAAGTGTCTAGAAACGGTCTCTTTACCCATCTATCGCATTGACCGACAATTTCTTTATTCTTTACACCCGGTGTCGTAAATGCGTCATGTTACTCAATCTCAAACATGGGGACAGTTTGATTTACATACCGCTAATTGTAAATTCAAGTCACAGCAGCTAACGGTTCACAACTAAGCAACATCAGCTAATGTGGACAAACAGTCAGTGGTCACATGAATAGTAAAAAGACGTAAATAGCGCATAGTGGAGGGTAAATGTGTAAACTGACCAGCGTCCTCCTCTTTTCAGACAAGTGTCGCAAAGGACTTCGCA